AAAAAAAAAAAACACTCAATTTTAAGATAGTGGAGGGTCTAAAAGAAAAATTAGTAAACATTTTCTCACCGAAAGACATAAAATCGACATTTACCTGGCTTACATAACCCGTATCCAACATCCAATTCACGGGAATATGGAATCTTTTGTATTTCTCTGCAGCTGATTCTCTCATTCTTGACAAGTTATACACTCCATGCTCCAATCTGCCAAGTATATCACCAATTTAATTTTTCTTTTTCTTTTTTCTTTTTCTAGAGCAAAGCTATGATTAACATGTGTGATGGTAAAGAATGTGTAATAAAAAAGTCTTACTTCTCAAACAAAGACTGTATTTTCTTGAGGACGTGACAGCAAGGTTGTCTTGTGTCATCTCGAAAGGATGATACTTCAGCTTCCAGCTTCTTTAGATCACGGTACCCAAATGCAGCTTCTCTTAACGCATCTGCCTTCTTTTCCGGCCAATCGAAATGCTTCAAAACTGCCCTTTCATCAACCTTCGCAAATTAAAAAACGAACAAATATTAACTAAAACGAGTATTAACAAATACTCAAACGAAAATAGGGGAGGAAATGGAAGAGGCAATAACAAATATTACCAGGTAAGACAGCTCATCATCAAGCCATTTCACAAAAGGCACAACATCCTCAATATCTGTGAATATTGCACCCTCAACTTCTTTAATCAAGAATCTAATGAAATCCCCTTGAGTCTCCACATCTGTTTTAATCTGTATTTAAATTAAATTAGAATAAAATTAACATTGATTATGAAATGTGATAAATTATTGCCCTATATGGCTATGTATGCTAATTGCTAAATCCAAACAAAGGGGCAATGGGGATTGAAAAGCATAAACCAAAGATAAGCTGCCCAAAAACAGGGAATTGTCATGAAGCCCACGTGGTTACATTAAAGTTTTCGACTTTCTGCACTACCAATATGGATTTCGAATCAAAATCCTGTCTTATCTCGTAAGTAACCTGGCAAAGTTCCAATAGGAAAAGAAAGCAAAGGGTACCATAGAAGACAATGGGGACCATCACAGTCCCTAAACAGAGCCAATGGCAAAAGCAGTAAATGACACCAAGAACCGAGGCCAATTCAAGAAAAGCTTACAGCTAGTAAATGTGCAGAGCGGTTCTCGATTTCCCCTATCATGTCCTTGGCCGTCGAACCCGCCGCATGCGAGTCGGCCGGGCCACCGCCAGCGTCCCGCCGGTAATTCGAATCCCTCTTCATCAGCGAGTGGTAAAACTCCACCACCTCCGGCACTCTCCGTACTTTCGATGGCATGGGCTTGAGCCCCTTGAGCGGAGCCGGCGGAGGTGGGGGCGGAGCAGGAGGCGCGGCTATTCTCGACGGACGAGGAGGAGGGGGCGGGGGCGGAGGGGGAGCGGTGGGTTTGGACTCCGACGCCGGCGGTGGTGGCGGCGGCGGTGGCGGATGAAAGCCAGACATCTCGACCAACGCACGGTACGCCGATTCGGATAGGGAACCGTACGAAGGTGATGAGACAGAGGACGACAGGCACTTGGGGGAGGATGAAGTGATTGACGACAAGAGGGACGCCGACGGCCGCGGCGGCGGTTTGGGCACGCGCGGAGCACGGGATCTTGTTCCGAGTAACCCATCGGAAGCTTCTGGAAAATCCTCTTCCCTTTTCACCTCCGCTTCGCTCTTCAAGTTCGCAATCGTCGCGTTCTCCAGAAACGCGGCCGCAGCGCCGTTAATCTGAGTCGCGCATTTTCTCAAACACCTAGTGGAAAAACTAGATTTGTTGTTACTGGTCAAATCATGGAGTTTCGCGGTAGGCGAGGAGGACGAAGACGACGATGCCTCTTCACTCTCCCTTTCTCTCTCCTCCGCCATTCTCTTGATCTCCATTAGCTCGGCCTGCATGTCTCTGATCTTCTCTTCATACTTCTGGTTCTGTTTCGACAATTCTACGTGCAGAAACTCGTTCTCCTGCCTCAACCTCTCGTTCTCCTCTTCCAGGCACTCGATCTTCTTCCTCGACCGCTCGATCTCCGAGTCCTTG